ATCTGCGAAAGCTATTTTGGAAGCATAAAGGGACATAGGTGTCCCTAAGCCTGCTGAAGGTTTTTGGGAAGACATGTGTCTGTAGTCAGGACTCGAGTCAAGTCTGGAGCTGAACCCTGAAGGAGGTGTTATATTTAGCAATGGGGAACAAGGAGAAAGCAATTGATTAATGCACAGAACCCAGGCTATGTATATTTTGTGGGAGGACAGTCTGGGTATCAAAGCAAAATTCAGTGAGCTGGGAAAGTGAGAATCGAATCCCTAGTTGCACTGTGCTCTTTGGCAAACTCAGGTAGATCCCTTGAGAAAATTCTCTTTTGGGGATGACAATACACATTACAAAATCGATGCAAAGAGTAGAAATAATTGTGATTCAGCAATTTAATACATTACAAAATGTTCTCAATGGGAAGTACAGTTACCATTTGTCACCATACGAAGTTATTACAGTATTATTGACTATATTCCTTATGCTGTACTTTTCATCCTGGTGATTTATTTATTTTATAATTGGAAATTTGTACCTCTCTATCCCCTTCACCTGTTTCACCCAGCCATCCCTCCCCTTCTTCTCCAACAATCACCAATTTGTTCTGTGTATTTATGAGTCTATGTATGGTTCATTTGTTCATTTGTTTTGTTTTTTAGATTCCACATATAAGTGAAACACCTGAAGCTAATGTAATACTGTATGTCAACTGTACTTCAATAAATTCTTTAAATTAAATTTTAAAAAAAGCATAGAAATAATATATGTAAAGCACTGAGAACAGTGTCTGAGAAGTGGTAGCTTTTATTTTAAAAAATGGGACAAGAAAGAAGTTTGAATGCAAAATTAAGAAGGTGGTGATAAAAATGCCAACCTGTAATTAATATTATTTTCAGTCACTTAGTAATGCTGTTGACTAGTGTTAAAAAATTCAGTTTGCATCTGTTTTTCCTGTTGGTGATCAGTTTGTATTAGATTATCCCAGATCGTTTTGTTCATTGTTCTCTTTTACCAGAAAACCCTAATTTAAAGAAAGCCTTACCTACATGGGGCACTTGAACATATCTTGTTGTTCTTAAACTAATCAGACATGGAACTGGATCTAAATTCTTGGTTTTATTAACCAGCTTGATTTACAGAGCTAGTGAGGCCAGAACCCACAATTGATGGAAAGATTAAATTGGTTTTTTTTTTTACACCTTTTTGGATTTAAATCTTTATTCCCTAAGATGTATAGGTACAACAGTTTGCAACTTTGATCAGTATTGATCAATTTCCATTCAGTATTTAACACTTTAAAACATTTTTTCCTGGTATAAAAATAATATGTGTTTAGATTATAATGCTGAAATATAAATAAAATATATAAAAAGAAAATAAAAATCACTTGTAATATTTTTAGGCAGATATAACTATTGTTTAAATCCTGATTTAAAATTTTAAATATTGTTAAATTCTGTAATTCTTTTAAAGTTGATTTACTATGCATACATAAATAAAAATATTCCCGTTAGTTGGGATCATAGTATGTCTTATATTTTGCTTTTCTATCTCTATTTTGAGTATTTTATCCTGATGCTGAATATTCTTAAAAGGTATGATTTAAATGGCTACATTGTATGCAATAATATCAGAGTAGTTGAACCATTCCTCTTTTATGAGCACTTCAGCTTTAATTTCTTCATTACTATATATAATGTTGTGATAAACATACAAGTTCAAAAATCTTTGAACCTACTTCTCACTACTTATGTAGGTTACATTTCTAGTTGTGGAATTCTTGTGTCAAAGTAGATGAAAAATTTTAAAGCTCTTGATATATATTAACAAATTTCTCTCTGGCGAGTTTTTTTTTAACCAGTGTTTTATCCCAGTAAAAGCATAGTGAGAGGACCTATTTCCCTGTAATCCCACCCCACCTCACTTTCATTTTTCCCATTAGGATATTTATATTTGTATTATTGATTCATAATGACTCTTTATATATTAAATATGATAATTCTTCGGTTGACAAAATATCTTGCAATTTCTGCCCTACCCTAGTTTGCCATATGCCTTTTAACTTTGCTTATGATCTTTTTTTTTAATACATCCTTTTTTATTTTACTAGAGAGTACCTTTACAATTTTTGTTGAATTACATCTCTGGCAATATAAATATAAAATAGTATATAGTGATACTCCTTTACAAACACTGAGAAACTTATTGCATTTGTACTTATTTCCCCCATCATCACTCAATTTTTATTGAAATAATATGAGATTGTCAATCTAGATCATTATAAGTAAATTGTTATTTTATAATTAACTTACCCTTTAATAATTATTTTTAATATTTGCATCAGGTTTTATATCTAGCTTAACAACAATTATTTTTTTAATACTGACTTACTAGATTTATTGCACATCATTAACATACTCTTTTCATTCTCAAGTTTTTAGTATTGATTGAACTTTTCTGTCAGCTGTAGCACTTCCTTGGCTAAAATTTTTAAAAAGTTCCTGTGAAAACACCTTCTGAGTCCTTGGATGTCTGGAAGTGCCTTTCTGTTGTTTTTGTATGTAACTAAGAGTTGACTATTCAAAATTCTTAGAGTATTTTTTTTATTAGTTTCTATTCTTTTCTTTCTCTGTTTCTAGGTACTTTAAGTAGGCCTTTCAGGAAATTATATCAAGGGATAATTAGCTCAATACCTTTTGAACCAAGAGACTCTAGTATCATTATTCAGAAAGAGGCAAATTTAAATAAAGAAATAAATATATTTCTCCAAGACTGCACAATCATTCTGTGTGTGATAGAACCAGCTCTCAGGAGGAATGTTGTTTATGTTCGTGAGGGCTCTGCTCTGTCTTAACTCTTTAACTGCTTAATTTTGGTCATTATCATAATGATTTGCACCACCAAAGATAGTCTGAAATGGAAAGCAAAAGGAAATGGGATTGAACTATGATGGTTTCTACTATGATTGCTTTCCACTAGCCTAAAAGCCTAGGAGTACCATGATGTTTAATCTAAGACCTAATAAATTAATTCTCTGCATATATGTCATTATTGGAACCTGTTAGCACATACAGATTAATTGTGCCCTCACCTACTTTTTCTCATTGGAGGAAAGTTTTATGTATATTAATAGTATCACCCTGTTGATATAAGGGTATCTTATTAGAGTGGAACAGGCGTACCCGTTGTTGATTTTTTTTTCTTATTTGTGTTTTTGCTTGTTTTTGTCTACTTATTTTGAGTAGTACCACTGGGTGCTGATGGCTGATCACACTAATACCAAATGTTTCAGAAAAAAGAGGAAGAGGTGGATGGAAATAGAGAAGTTGAAAACCATTACAGAGCTGCCCTCTGGAGCATGATTGCTGCAGGGAAAGGAATCTTAGCTGTGCAGGCTCCTATAGGACCTGATTATGATGTCATAAGAACTAACATTTACTAATTTAAACATCCATTGCCTGCTCTCAGCGGTAATTGAGCAAAAACAGATTTGTTTTTGAAATGTAGCCACCTCCTAGTTTTAATTTTTTTGCTATATTTGCCATAGAAAATCAGTCTGACTCAGTTGCCAAATGAATTTTTCTTTCTCAGATAATTTTTTATGCTCTTTTGTAACAAACCAGAATTTAACACCTTCAGCTTTTATGAAAATTATTTTTAACTTGGGGAAAGTTTAAATGTTGAAAGTTTGCCACAGATCCAGTGGGGATTTTCTGAGGAAATTGTAAATTATTTACCTGATACCTGAGTGTGAATGAGCTGTCCTCCCCCTTGCCTCACGTCCCTCTCTGTGTAGTGAGCACAGTCACCTTTTACTCACCTACATCAGTGTTTTAAGGAAACTAACATTTTTCCAATGGCTAACTTTTTCAGGATAGGACTTTAGAGTTTTTAAACGTTCTGTATTATACCCAGTCTAGATTGCTGATGCTAGAATATGTACAAAGCCAGGTTCATTGGCAGATAGGGTGAATCACACTCATTGTGTACACTTCATTTAATCAACAAATACTCTATGAGCATCTGCTGTGTGTCTGGCGCTGTACTAAGCATAGGGAGGATATGACATATGACCTTTGGCCTCGGGGTACTACGAAAGGATGAAAGGAAGTTTGTGTAAATATTTTAGGGGCCCTTTTGTGGCCCTGCAGTCTACTGAGAAAGCTATTTTACCATCTCCTTCTGCAACGGCATTCTTCAGCTCTTTAATTGTACCTTCCTGTAGAAGTCAGTAGACATTCTATATATGCACATAATTATGTTATTTTGTAAATAAATATTTCCTTACTTATTTATTGTAATTATAAATCCATGCTGTTTGGAAGTAGAATGTCACAAAATGTTGAATGGCAAATATTTAAAATTTAAATCAGCGCTTGTAACCCTGATTGTGCATTAACATCATCTGGAGAGCATTAAAAATATCCCAGTCTTGCCCCTCCCTCCAGAATCATGAAAGCTTGGCCATAAACTCCAGATCCTGAGCACATCTATATGAAACTCCATTTTTTAGTGTGGCCATGGGAGAGTTTTGTAGTCTCTGTGTCTCAGTTCCACATTTGTGAAGTGGAGTTACAATAATAGTAGCTACTACATAAGGATGTTTTAAGAAAGACAGGAAGTAATCCTTGAAAAGTACCTAGTGTAATACCTGGCATAGAGGATACACTCAGGAGAAGTTATGGATGATAATAATAATATTAATAGTGCCAATTATAGTACTGTTTTATTATTTTTATCCTTATTACTATTTTCTTCCTGCCCCTTCTTCTAGCCAACTGTTTTTTAGAAATGACATCACCATGAACCGATTTTATCAGTTTCATGAATATACATACCAATCTGACTTGAATTAACCAAAAATATACCCCAAACACTGAGTTAACATGTTAGGTCATTTTAGTGTGTTAATTCGCAGTGCAAATACTTGTTTTTCTTCAGAGGCAATTCTCCTAATGGCATGATCTCTTTTTATCTTTCCTATGCCTTTCCTAACTTGCCGTGGGCACAGAAGAGAAGGCCAAGAAGGAAGCAGAGGAAAAGGCTCGTCTGGCCGCAGAGGAGAAGCAAAAGGAAACGGAAGCTAAAAGCCAGGCTGAAGAAGGCACATCTGGCAAGGCTGAAAAAAAGACGTCTGGGGAAGCTAAGAATCCCATCAATGGAACGCGTACAAACAAAGGCGACAACCCTCGTGGGAAAAATTCCAAAGCTGAGAAGTCGTCAGGAGAAAAGCCACAGAATGGTGAGTAGGATTCCACTGGTGAAAGGCTTCTTCCAGGGTGTTAATGACGTGATGAATGGCAGCTGGCCTGCGACTGCACCTGGGAGGAAGGGCTGCTCAGTGAGCAGTGCTGCTCCGGCCGAGCAGCTGCTACGGATGGCCCCTCGCTGGGCTGTGGATCCCGTTAGGACTCCATCCAAAGCAGCCAGGAGCTTGCCTGGGCCATTCTCTCCGGGGAGATTTGTACCTTTTGGGTCCTTTGCAGCTGTTCTGGAAACTGGACAGTGCCTGCCTGCCCGCTGGGGAAATTACTATTAACAATTCCAGCACATCCCAAGTGCTTACTGCCAAAATGGGTGAGTGGAAGGTAGCCTCCCCTGTGTGCCATCACCCTGGCAGGGCTGGGTCTCAGGTCTCTTAGGCCTGTTCCTGTGGCACGTGTCTATGTATCTGCGGGTGAATCCGTGTATACATGAGGGTTCCCTGCTGTCCCTGTTTGTCTGGGACTCAGGGCTTTCAGTTTGAAAACCAGAAAAGTTTCAGGAAAACATGATGAGCTAGTCATGTTGTGTGAACACATTTGATAATTTCCTGTATTTAATGGGACAAATATTTATTAGTTAACAACTATGTGCCATGCACTGTGCTTGTCACTGAGAATTCAGAAATAGAAAGGCCACAAGAAGTCCATGAGCTCATAGGGGATGTGGACATCCTCAGAAATAGTTCTGAGCAAGTCACAGTAGCTGCATGGCAGAGAAAATGCCCAGGAAGGTGGGCCAAAAAGAGATGTTAGTTTGAGTCTGGGGATTGATTGCAGGCTGGAGTCAATGTCAAAGAAAGCTTCAAGAGGAGGAGCTGGGTTTCAAATGCTGAAGTTTGGTGGTCAGATGGGAGACAGGGACTTCTCAGCCAGAGAGAACAAGATGAGCTAAGGCACAGATGCATGGCTTTGGTTACCTTGTTTAGGGGACAGGAAGTTTGTTCAGAGTCTCTGGATCTTTCACATGCCAGGATGTGGCAAGGTAGTTTTGCAGTCAGGCAGACCCGATTCAAGTCACAGCTATGACTCTCACTTCTTGGTGGCCTTGGCCAGGCTTCTTAGCTTTTCTCTGTCTTTGTAAAATGTGCATAGTACTACCCTTTCACAATATGGGCCACTTTGAGTGTCCAATAATAACAATGATAGCAAAAGCAGCAGTAATAAAAAGAGGCCATTTATTGACTGTACACCGGATACTGTTTTAAATCCTCTCTTAACGTGCTCATTCTCTTATCTTCCTGGTAGGGGCAGTTACCTATTTCGAACCATGCTCTAGCTGTTGTGCTGTAAGACCTGGGTAAATGAGAAATACATAGAAAGTGCACAACACATATATATGTAACTTTACAATGACCATATTTACCATATAGAATCAGAAAACAATATTTTGATACATATAATAATGATAGTAGCTCATGTCATGTTCCAAGAACTTTGCATAAATGCCTTCAGGAAACCCCTGTGCCCACCTGAAGGCAGGCAAGGCCATCATCCAATTTGTCCAGCTTCTCAGCAGCCTGACTCTGGAGACTTCTCATAGCCAGTTTGCTGTGTATTCAAATGCATTATATTGCAGAAATTGTGTTCAATTTAATAAGAATTATGATGCATCTGTTGCAGTTTTAGAGGCTGGTGCAAAACACCCCTTTCCTCTTCTCCATGGTCAGAACCAATGAAGAGAGAGACACCAGAGTCAGAGAATCAGTGATCACATGGAAAATGTGGGATTGGTCTGCTCAGCACATGGGCTTCTTCACATATCTTCCTTGAACTGAGCTTGGCGAACCAGACATTTTCAGTGCAATTGGGCTCAGGACTCGCCCCCCTTCACCCTCACCCCAGCACCTCAGCAGGCTGCTTCTGGAGTGACAGCACAGAGGTGTGTCTCCTGGGAAACACATCTCAAATGCTGTTGGGGGCTGAGCTGAGCTCTGCATGCTAAACTCTTCCTTCTAGATGAGACTTTCCTTCCCAAAGGAGGAGTATGTAAGGGCTGGTGAGAGAGGCAAGACATGTTTCTTCCCTACTTTTTTTCTTTTAGGAAAGTGGGTTAAAAGGTCTTTCCCTTAATAAAAACAGTCATTATAATATTACTAACAGTTACTGAATGCTTACTATGTGCCAGACATTGTACATGAGATCTTATCTATATTAGATCTATATTAGATCCCTTAAGAATTCTAACAACTCTATGAGATAGATACACTCCTTCCCATTTTGAACACGGAGAAGTAGACTCAGAGAGGTTAAATCACTTGCTTAAGGTCAGGCAATTACTAAGTAGAGATTTCAGGCCAATTCAGATCCATGGGATTCCAAATTCTGTATTATATAACCAGCATGTCCCTACTGTTTGCAAGGTTCAGAGCTATAAGGGAGAGTAGGAAATCAGAGAAATATTGTGACTCAGCTCCTGTCCATAAGAAGCTTATAATCTATTACAGATGTTGGCACACTTTTTCTATAAAGGACAAGATAGCAAATATTTTAGGCTTTGAGGGCCATACAGCCTCTGTTGCAACTATTTAACACTGCTGTTTTAGCATGAAAGCAACTATAGACAGTATGTAAATAAATGAGTGTGGTTGTGTTCCCATAAAACTTTATGAATATTCATATTTGCATTTTATATAATTTTCACATGTCATTAAATATTTTTCTCTTTTTCCAACTATTTAATAATAAAAAAAACCATTCTTAGTTTGTGGGCCATATACAACCAGGCACTGGGACTAGGTTTGGCCCATGCACCATAGTTTGCCAACCCCAGATCTGGTCAGGAAGAGAAACAATGAACACAAACATGCCAGTCACAGGAAGATTTTAAATCTACAAGAGGGGAATCCAGAGAAGTATTGGAGAGGTGGCAATAATTTATTTTGCAGATGATTAAGGGAGAGAGAGAGAGAGCCTGAAAGAAACAAATAGGAGCTTGAATTTTCAACCAGGCTGGGTTGATTTCACAAAGCAAGCAACTGTCTACTATTTCCCTTAAAAATTAAGTATTAAATGAGAGATGGGAAAAGAAATCAATTTTTGAGCAGTAATAAGAAAGGCTAATGGTGATTTGGGACTGTGTTACAACAGCCTAATTAAAATGATTTATAACTGCAGAAAGACTCTTTTGTTCCGCCCCCTGTTTATTGAATAACAACACACATCAGCCATTACTCCATATACAACCCATGGGAAATTACCTAGTGGATTTTATTCAAGGAGCACCATCAAACAAACATGCGTCACTTTCCCAGCACCCTTCTTTGTGGTTGCCCAAGATACTTATAGGATAGAGCTGAAGGACATTAGTTAGGTGGGGTTCTAAAGGTTTGATCTCCTATCAGCAATTACAGGGTACCCTAAGCTTTGTTCTCCATCAAGGCATTTCCTCTCTCAGTCTCCCCAAGCCTGACTGAAGAGAAGGCAGGCTGCCATAGGCTGCTGGCTAGCATCCAACACATTGCACCACGCCTGCTGGCTTCTGGAAGACAGCCTGGTCTTGCTGTAGCTGTGAGTAAAGCTCTAGTCCAGGACAACCTTGATGTCTTATTGTATTGTGCACTAGGAGGGTAAAAGCTCATTTAGGAAAGAAAGACCATTTTTCTACAGGGAATTAACTTGACTACAGGTCTCAAGATCCTCAGGTCCACTCTGGCATCCTTAAAACAGGGGAAAGCCAGTATTTGGACTGTTTCATGGGACCTCCACAGAATCCATCTATTTTGTCCACTAGTGGCGGTAAAGAGTAATGACCATGTCCTTCACTTAAACTCTTGCTTGTACCCTGGCCACAGCTGTCTCCCCTTCCTTTCAATCCCTCCAGTGACTTTATCCCATTTCAGAGTTAAAAATAAGAGGAATTTGGGAGTGTTTATTTTCCCTTAACCAGCGTAGGATTTGTCAAGTTGCATTAAAAGTACTTACTTTGTAGAATACTTTGTGACTCAGCTCCTGTCCATAAGAAGCTTATAATCTATTCCAGATGTTGGCACACTTTTTCTGTAAAGGACAAGATAGCAAATATTTTAGGCTTTGTGGGCCATACAGCCTCTGAGGGCCATTACAACCCCAAATGGTCTTAAGTTATCTTTAGATAACCATTTATTTATGAATCTGTAGGCCAAAGGCATTTAGAAATGGCAACAGTAAATGGAAGCCTGAAATCTAAAGTTAAGCTTCATAGGAAAGTTGCAAAATACAGTAGTTGAGAGCTTAGCCTCTAGAATCAGACCCATGTGTATGTATGTGGTGATACTTTAACTGCCTTCGGCTCCATGGCTGTGAAATGGAGATGGTAATAGGTGTCTCATATCAGTTCCCCACAAGTTGGTTTAAACAAAATCACTTTGTAGAAAGATCCATTAGCCATCTGTTCAAAAACTGTTCGATGAATGGCTTAAACGAGATCTGCAGTAGCCAACAGGAGCAGCTTTGTTGCCAGAAGAAAATGCGCATGTGAGGTGAGGGGCAGAGGTGTGGCCTGGATAGTATGTGAAGCACAGGCAGGGGGTGGCCCGCTACACTCAGCAGGACCAGGCTGATCACTGTGTGACAGAGTGGCTGCAGAAAAACTCAAACTTGGAAAACATCTGCAGTGTTTTGGTGAATTTGTTATTTAGTAAATTAATCATTTAGTGAATTACTCTTGGATGAATTTGTCTACTTTCAACAATAGTACCTTCAAAATGGGGTTGGTGTAAGAATTTAATGAAACGAGAAACATTTAGAACACTGCCTGCACAAAGAAATTAAATAAATAAACAAATACATAAATGTACCCCTTCCACCTTGGGCCCTGCTCCCTCCCTCCTAGTTGCAATTATTTTTCTTTTTTCTTCCACAAGTACCAGTATTTTAGTGGTAAGGTATTCTTAGTTTTACGTAGGCTGAAGAGAAAGCTGCCATTAGTAATGTTAGTAAGAAAAAATATCCAAAACTTGAGAATAACATCCTTTCAATGTCAGATGGGCTATTTTTTATCAGAAGTGCCCAAGGATTATTAACTTCCCTTGGTTAGACAGGAGCCAGCAAACTTTCTGTATAGGCCCAGGTAGTAAATATTCCTGGCTTTGCTCATTTTTTTTTGAAACTCTGCAACTCTACCATTCCAGCCTGAAAACAGCCACAGGAATATATAAATGAATTTATATTTAGCTCATTAAATTAAATGTGGCTATGTTCTAATAAAACTTTATTTCCAAAAACAGATAGGTCATATTGGCCCCTGGGCTGTAATTTGCTGACCCCTGCTATAGTAGAATATGACTTTGTTTAACTTCGTCATTAACTATTTGACTCAAGCCTAGGTATTGTGAAGTTATATGCTAACTTGTATATTTTTGCCTGGTAGAGCAGATTACCCCAAAGGTAATGGTTTATTCCCCTTTAGGACCTAACCAGTTTTATCTCTAACCTGGCAATCTTACTTTTAACATTTTTCTAAAATGCCTACAAATAACCATTTTCTTAAATGTTCTTGGAACCAACCTTACTATGTCTCTGGTTCCCTCATAATGAACTGAAGTTTTTGATATTCGCTTACTCTACATTTGTATGCATAGTGGTTTTTAACATTTATATTTCGACAAGCTCATTACTGAGAGTGCTATTTATAGCTATGTTTTAGAATAACAACCATCATTGAGTAATGTGCCACATATCACATTCAGTGCCTTAAGTGCATTTGTCTTTATATTATGCCTATCAAGTAGGTATTATCCCCATTTTGTAAATAAGGGAACTGAAGCACATAGAAGTTAAATAGCTACTAATTAATATTACTTACATTTAACCCACATTTTCCTTACTCTCCAACCTAATAATAAAGCTGGACTGTTCTTCTTGGAAAATAAATGTCACTGACTTAAGTACAACCCTGCCTGTCAGGAACAACTTTCAGCCTTAATTTTTTTATCATAATCCAATGTTCAGGACCTAATATGTAGTTAAAAAAGATATTTACACTCAGCCATGTACACCCTCATGACTAAAATTATGCTATACTTTTTTTTTTTACCTTGACAGGTTTAAAGATATTTGTAACTTCCCCCTTAACTGTATACATATACTGTTTGTCATGTTTATTACCTTCAGGTGACTTGAAAGATGGTAAAAATAAGACAGACAGGAAGGATCAAGCCAATGTCGGAAGTGATTCAAAGAAAACAGATGGTAAGACTATACTTCCCATTATATTTTTCCATAAAATATGTACTTTAATGCAAGGTTGTTAGAATTATAGCTAAATTTGAAATTGTAGTTGTTAATACATTCTTATACTATATCCTGACAAAAAAAAGTCACTACATTTAGACAGTACTATTACCCCTTTTCCAATAATATACAAATTATTGTTGTGTATCTTTTCCTCCACCACATTTTCTCTGTCACAAATGCATTCTATACTTTTCTTTTCCCACTTGCCATTTTTCATTTTAAACTCTGAAATTGACTCTAGGCTTGCTGATTGGAATGGTATGGAATATGAATCTTTGATTGTCAATTGCATGGCATAAATGGGAAATGTTCCATGTTTTCAGTTTTTGCATAGTTATCTTTAATGAGTTACTACTTCTGGTAAAAACGAAAGCAGAAATCTGTTTGGTGTCATCACGATGGTTTTTTAGGCTCACCTACTGTAAAACATACATAGATGTAGAATACAGTTTGTTCAGCAACAGTGTCTTAAAGGTGAGCTTTGGATAACAATCCCAAACCAGTTAGAATGAACCTACCTTGTAATGTGCTTAATGAACATGGCTTTCACTCTCCACAAACAGCATTCCACCCTTTATAAGACCTGGAAGTTCAAATTATATTACCTTTCAAACTTTGTACTATCAGGTTGAGAAACTACTCTTGCCTTTTATAGAAATCTTCTGTTTCAGTTGTAGCATGGGCTCATTCCTAGTTATTCTCACACGTATACATCAAATTAAAGTGAAAGTGATAGTTTCTAGGCAGTGGTTTTATTAGAGTCCCGGACTCTGTGAATCGAATCTCTCTGGAGACATCATATTGAATGCTAAGCTTTCCTTTGAATGGTTTGGTTATAATACTATGGAAGAACAAATACTGGGTAATCAGTTTGAGGAGTAATAAGAAATTTGAACACAACTCCTCACACATCTGTTAAAAAGGAAGCAGCCCCTTTGGCTTTCAACTCTAAGCCATTTGGTTTTCTTTATTCATGTGCAGGAAATCAGTTCTCAAATCTTTCCTTTTAAGCTCATTCAAATAATTCACTCCAACTGTCTTATTACATGATATCTGGGAAGCACACATGTGCAGTGTTTTGCCAAATTTTCTATGCAAATGGAAACCACCTATCTAATAAATATTCCCTCCCTGAATGATTGTGACTAAGATGTGAATTACACAGACATAAAATAGATCTCAAAATGATAGTCTTCAAGCCAGTTGTTGTGGGTAAGATTTGTTCAAACACCAGAGGCTCTTTGCCAAACATCATTAGACTCATGTCAAGGTAACACAAGCCAGAAAATGAACAGTAGGTGATAATGGTATTAGTTATAAGGATAGCAACTGGACACCCAGCCCACCCTGCATTCAGTGACTCAGCCTACCTGAATTCCTGTAGCATAAAGGCCCAGAACAAGCCAAGTCCCAAATGTTTAACATGGAATCTTGAATCTTGTTGCATTTTTGTATCATGCTGCAAATATCTGTTATAATTTTGTCATGTGGGCATTGTGGTTTGAATTTTATTACCTTTATTAAGCCCCTTTTAACTGAATTGTCTCCAAATGGTAAAATAATTAAACAGGGTTTTTTGTTTTGTTTTGTTTTGTTTTAGCAGGGAGGGGTGATTAAATAGATATTATGTTCTATTGTCCAAGTAAGTGTAAAGCTTGATTGCTTAATGAACAGGATTCTTGATCCTACAGGGCAGTAAATAGGGTATGTTATATAAAGAAGAGACATTTTCTAATGTCTATCCCTTTCTCCATCTATAACTCCAGCCTTCCACTGCTTCAGCGGGGTCTGGTATGTCCATATACTTACAAATTTGTACACAAATTTGGGCATGAACAACTTTGTATTTTAATTTCATTGGTGGACTAACATGACATCAATCATTGTCACTGCTTTGGTATCATCAGAATTTAGATCACTTGACTTTACTTGTGCTATCTTAGCCCAAAATCTTTACCAGGACTAAATCTAATTCTTGGTGGTACAAAGTGGAAAATAATTTGATCAATTTCATTTACCCCTTACCCTTTAATCATCAAAGCTCCTACTTTAGAAAATTTACAAAATGATATGCAGATCATTAGATGCACTGATTTTGAAAATCTATTTAGTAACAACGAGATATATTTTGAACATTTCTTTTTAATGGATCCAATTAACTTATATGATGACAAGAGGTAGTCAGCTTAACTATTTTAATGCTTTTATCTCTGATCCAACTCCTGGTAAACAATGGTGACCAGCTCTATTTGATTTTTGAGAGGGTATATCCAGTACAACTCAGTGCCCAGTGTGATCAAACCCACTTCGAAATTTCAACATCATATGCATTCAGAAAGAAACCCAATGAAAATTGGACCAGAATTGGTTATTTCCAAATTCCAGTGAACAGAGGCATCCATAGAGAGAAGGAGTGTGTGCTGAAAGAGTAATTTATATCTTGGTGTAATGAGCACATTATAGTTGTACATTATCTCTGTCAGGCTACTGAGGTACTGTTTAGTATCCTGCAGCACTAATTGCTTAGCAGACTTCAAAGAATGAATGTCCTTTGAAAATACCTTGCTTACTCTTAGGGAGAAATGCACCAACATAAAAAATCTGGACCTCTGAGCCAAGATTCTCTCAGGGTCTAAAGTTTTACAGTGTCATTGGGAGACTTGTAGGGTTCCACACAAATGAATTATTTTCAACGTGTTTCTAGTCATGGTTGAAACAGCATAGCCTTTTGGACCTGCCATGATTTTTTATAGTTGCCCAAAAACATGAACTTGCTCTTTGCTTTTACTCCACTACATTAACAGAGATATAAGATATAGCCACTATTTGTGTCTCTCCTAAGATTGACTATAATTAGGCCCTGTAGGACTGTTTGCCAAGTTCCAGGGAAGGAGTTCAGCAGGAATTTCTCCTTCATTGAATACTCTGGGAATTGAAATGTTTAAAGATGTTGGTTCATGAAATTTAGAAGTCAGTTGTGATAAGTGAAAAGAGTAGATAAAAGACAGTTTATGGATATGTGCTTCTGTCAAAGGGGCTAACAGGAATTAGATGTACCCTTCCATCTAAAACAATAATAAAAAAAGACAACTACATGGAAGAATGTCTCCTAAGATACTGGACATCAAGAAAGGAAGGAAAGTGATCTCCAAGAGATAGGAAACAAATGAAATGAGCCCTACACCTGCCTTGCTTACTGCCTCGAGAGGGTTTCCTGGCAGCATAGGGAGGGGTATCCCAGGCAGACCTGATGGACTCCTTGAGTTGTGGAGTTAAATAAGGATCCAGGAAGACTAAGGTGGCTTAAGTTAACAGGATAAAGTACCATAGAGGAGAGAGTTGCAGAGAGGTAGAACTCCAGGGATATGAAGAGTATTCATCAGAGTACTGATTGGCCCGTACAATGAGGAATTTACCTGAGCTAATGAAAGAACCATTCAAGAGGAATAGAAGGAACAGTCCTGATGTTCATATTTCATATAGGGCAGAAAAAGTGCCTACTCATACTAGCTAGACTTGAATATTTAATAAATTAGAGGAAATTGGGTAAAATATCATAATTGTCTTGCCTTAGTAGTGGGAAAATAATTAGTTGTAAGATAAATGCAGCTTTGGTCCCACCTAACAAATCTTAAAAGCAAGACATAAAAAGATCAGTGTTTCCAAATAACTGCATCCCAGAATAAAGCTCATAGATATATATAGGGATATAAAAATATCTAGTACCCAACAGAGTAAAATTCACAGTGTCTGACATCCAATCAAAAATTACTGGATATGCAATGAAGCAAGAAAATACTATTCATAATACAAGAAAAAACCCAAACAATTGAAATCAACTCACTGAAACAGATGTTAGAATAGGAGACAAGAATATTAAAGCACTTATAACTATAGCCCATGTGTTTGGAAGTTGAGTAGAGATGTGAAAGATGTAAAGAACACAAAATGAAATTACAAGAGATGAAAACTACAATGTCTGAAATGAAAAAATAGCAATAGAGAATATCCAAAATGAAACAACACAGGAATTAAAAAAAGAGAAATTACTGTAAAAAGCATCAGTGAGTTGTGGGACACCTTCAAGAAGCCTAATGTATGTGTAACTGGAGTCCCTGAACTAAAGAAGAGAAAAATATTTGTGAAGTAATGGCTAAAGTTTTGCCAATTGATCATGACTGTAAAACTATAGACTTAAGAAACCCAGGAAAGCCCAAGCACAGGAAATATGAAGAAAATCACACTAAAGTGTATCATAATCAAATAACTCAAAACCAGAGATGAAAAGAAAAAATTTTTAAATATCTAGAGAAACAAATGCATGTATTTACAGATGAACAAAAGCTAAGGATAACCAGAGATTTGTCATTAGAAACATTGCAAATGAGAAGGCAGTGGAACATCTTTAATGTGCTGAAAGAAAAAAAAAATTCAACTATGAATTCCATACCCAGCAAAAATATCTTTTAGATATAAAAGCTTAAAGAATTCATCACCAATACTCCAAGAAATGTTAAAGAAATGCAGTAAGATAACTATGCCAGATGGAAATAGGGATCTGCCCAAAGGAAAGAGGATCACTAAAAATGTCAAACTAGATAGATAAATATATAAGATTTTTCATGTTACTTAAATCTCTTAAAGATAATTGACAATTTGAGCAAAATAATAATGATACTGTTTATAACATATGTAAAACAAATGTATTATAGTAGTATAAAAGCTGGAAAGGATGAAAAGGAAGTATATTTTTGTAAAGTTCTAATATTATACATAAAGTCATATAATATCATTTGAAGGTGGCCTGAGATAAATTAAGGTGATATACTGCAAACCCTAAAGCAGTTAAATTAGATTAAAATAACAAAGCAAAGTAATCTAGCTTATAAACCAACAAAAGAGACAAAATTGAGTCATAAAATAATTAATCCAAACAAAGGTAAAAAAAAAAGAAA